AGTAACCCATTTTTGTCAGTTTCACATACACTCTGTACATTGATTTATTTACTGTTTTTATATATAACTCGAACTCGAATCTTTTAATAGCCCCTTAATTTAACCTTATCGCTCATTAGCAATAAATAACCTTGTCAAAAAGTTGATCATGATTTGAAATACGATAGTCACTGGAAATGAATTGGGCTAATCCCCGATATCTATACGCGTTTTGTTACATTTGGACAATGCGTGATTTTGGTAAAAATTTTCGTTCGAGTGCTGAATAAATGTAAAAATGAGTTGTTTTATAAATTATGGTGCTCTTATAAATCTATTGACCTAATTGAAAGTATTATTGCGATGTCTAGGCATAATCCCCCCTGGCATTGAAGAAAACTTGGCCAAACTATTGCGATCAAAATTAGAAGGAGAAGCACGTGCTACGGTGGTAGGACTGACTTTTGCCACCTTGGATGAATTGCTAAATCATTTAGCTGATATATTTGGTCCCACTCAAATCTTTAATCAATTGCTAGAATAATTAAGTAATGAATTTCAAAGGTATGAGGAAAATGTATTAACATTTGGAAATAGGCTACGATTATTAAGCAGTAAAATTAATCAAACTAAAAAGAGGGAAGAAAAATTAGAATCCGTAACGCCTACACAAAAACAGATTATCGAACAGAATATATTCGAATATTTTAAAAGAGGTTGAAACCCTGATATACGACTAAACTTATCTATCGATACCACCGTTTTAAACGTACTAAAGAATACGATAAAGGTCGAAAAAGATCTAGAGTCACAATTTATGTTACAAGCTTGGGTCGGTAATAACAATCCTCGTTCACTAAAGTCAATAACACGCTGCCAAATATGCAACGAAGATGGCCATGATGCTCTAAGTTGTAATGCCATAATTAAAGAAAACAATAACAAACAATGTAATTATTTTCAGAAAACCGATCACGAAGAGAATACATGGTTTACTACAATGGCAAATAATATTATAGTATGTCAAATTTACAACAAAAAGGTTCATGTTACTTCTGATTGCCGTATCCATATTAAATGTTAAATTTGTAATATAAACGGTCATGCAGCCAAAGATTGTAGTAACTGGATTCAACTAAATGCAATAAACGAAATAATTTGTCAAATTTACAGCAAATTAAGTCACTCAGCAAAAAAGTGTCATAGAAATATGAATATTGCCTCCAATAACTACGCTATAGCGGTTATTTGCCGAATCTGCAATAAATCAAGCCATTCAGCAAAAAAAATTAATGAGTCATAAAAGGCAACAAGGTTAAGAAGACAATTCTCAATCATTTTGAGGTCTTCAACTTCTACTGCATTTCCACGTTGTATTTGTTCTAAATTTTGATAAGCAATTTGTTAATTACATAAATAAGAGTGAATATACTACTTTTAATCAAGTTAAATTCACTCATAGCATTATGACCTGTTGAGTTCCAAAGAAAACTTTAAATGAGACAAAATTACCCAAGGATTATTTGAAAGTTCCTGAAGGTAGAACTTGGAATTTGCTGGCACCCATACATTGCCAAGGAACCAAAAGCAAAAGAGGGTACTAATAAATATGTGAAAGCTATTGTAACAAATGTGAAAAAAGTAAAAGAAGAATTCCCCTCACACAATTCAATAATATAAAATAGCGCAATCGAATACTTAATGAATATAAGCCGGACCACCGGTCTCTAAATTGCTTCGCTCAACAGACGCATTCTTCATATGTATATAGCTCGCTCGATAGAACCGTCGAATCCGAGTAATGGATCTTTCATCAATCATATGATACATTTGACAATGACAAAATAACAAACTTGTTACGATCTGATCAAAAGCGGTACATTCTATTTTGTACAATTCGCATGTATTTGGGGACATTAAAATTAATCAAAATATAATCAGACCAGCCATACTTGCAGGCAGTATAGATCAAAATGGACGTTGTGACTATGATAGTTATTCTGACGTTTAAAGAAGTTGGAATTCAGTAGTGGTTTAAGCTAAATTAAAATTAACTCTAAGAGAATATATCGCTTCTATCGATCTAGATAATGATCAAATAGTATTACATAGCTAACGAGATTGAGATATCTTCTTGTATCAAATAATTTTACCTAACTAATTATTTTAAAAAACAGTGATTAATAGTAATAATAATAGATAAAATAAAAATATATTATAGGAAAAAGCAATCATTTTTTTATCGGCGCCCGCGAATAATGAGCCATTTACCTGGCAAGCCATTTACAGTAATTCCAAAATGATCACGAGCCCTAGAATCTGAAGCCATTATTTTTGTCCACCCTTAAGATTTTCCTGTGCATCGTGGTATTGGTTGATGGAATAAGTAGTGCAGCAGGCCTTCTTACTCTTAGATATAGCAGACCAATCTCAACAAGATACTTTCTGTTTCAAGTACTCTTTATGTTTTCCAAGTGTAGTCTAGTTAACACAAATTTAGTTAGAAGACCAGTGCGATTGAAGATTTTACTCGTGTTCTATTTTTACGTATTCGGTTACTTCAGTTGCATAGTCCGCGGATGTGGTAAATGAAAAACTAGGTTTTTTCCTTTTTTTCTTCTTTTTCCACGAGACCACGCTAAACTTTATTAGTTGATTGATTTCTTTGTCTAATATTTGAGAATATTCATTAAAAACCTATTTGAAATATAACTTTCAATCTTGATGTTTTCATTAAGTTTGACTAAATTGTGACAAAATGGTGGGTTGGATTGGGCTAAACGTAATTTAATCGAACAAATTTTTCATAGGAAATGTAAGTGTTTGTACGTGGCTTTTGCTATATCTACTTTTACTGTGTTAGTACTATTTTCGCTATTTGCATGGGGGGGGGGGGGGGGGGGATGATCATCTAGAATTTTAACGAGCCCACAAATTAAGAAACACTTAAAAACGCATTCCAGGTGTATTGTTTTCGAGGTTCCCCAGCGCCATGTTATTCAAATATCTCTATATAAGATGGAAATATTTTTATTATAAATAATATACATTAAAACAATATGCTGGAATCACTTTAGTTGTTACAAAATATTCAAAATACATTTCTGGTATTAACAATAAAAAAAATCACATAAATCCCATATTGGACAATATATTTCTTAACAGCTACCTATAGGTCGAAGAGAAAACTAGATAACAACGAAATGACCCCAGGTATACCTCACCGATTTTCTTCATATTTTGATATGGTATAGTACATCAAAAAATATTTGACCGGTGTCTTTTCATTCGAGCTAATTCGGTGATTTAAGGGGTGAAAATCGCCTCTAAAGTTCATCCCTAAAACTTATCAAAATAAGGGAATGCAACCCTTATTGTTGAAAATAATACACAAATACTTGTTTCTGAATAACAAATAATGTTTACTTTGTTTCACCTAGAAACTTGAAATAGTGTCCAAGAAATGTGTAAAAATCATTTTTAAGGGTGTACTTTAGAGGTGGTTTTTACCCCTTAAATTGTCGAATTATCACGAATGAAAAGACACGGGTCAAATATTTTTCGATGTACATATCAAAAAATGAAGAAAATCGGTGACTTACACCTGGGGTAGTTTCCTTGTGAGAGTAATCTTATTCGTTCAAGCTTCATACAAGAACTAAAGACTAAATGTCGAAAAAAAACTCAATTTAATATTAATTATTAAAAGATTGTTAATGACAATTGAACCAGTAATACATTGACAATACAGCCAAAAAATTTAGATGCGATAGGGTCAAAATACATAAGAAAAACTGGTTGGTCCATCAGAATTGAAAAGGACACGAGACCGGATGAAGAGACTCAGCGGTATTGTTATAAGCCAAATTTGTTATAAGGTATTGCTATAAAAAAGTCAAATCAACCTGACGGCTACTTTGTGCACGTGTCCATTCGTATTGCGAGCGGTTAGCCGTCTGTTGAACATTTGTATCAAATTATAGCCGGCGAAAGTTGCCGTAAATACCGCTTTCTTGAAATCAGAACAACGGTTTTCACACACAATTTTTTGTGAATATGAAAGAATTATTGTATGAATAGTAATATTAATGATATTTTTAAGGATTATTGAATATTTGAATATTCGAATATTTCGGATAAATGTTTCATTTCTGCAACAGATTTGTCATAACTTTCTTTAAGTACAAATATGAAACTCATCTATCAATTTAAATATAAAAATAGTACTAAAACGTTTATCCTGTTTTTCTAATACATACAAAGCACTCTAAATCAACGAAACTTAAAATAGTACATTTCCTAGCGGGTGTGAAAAAATTTTTTAAGAAACCAGAGATTCAAGGCACTTGTCGAAAGCGGGTGCTGTAACGAGTTTCGTCACAAAGCCTTTTCGCATCAGTTATGGACAGTTTTTTCTACACGAGAGCTAGAAACAAGCGCCGAAGGTGTGATTTCAAAGTTAGAAGACGGAAAAGTATTGCACCCAAATAAATAAAATCGACAAATACATAACATAACACGTATGAAGAGTGTTACTCTCCCACAATTGGTTATACATCAGCTTTCACATAATTTATTCAAATACTTAATTAACTTAATTAAAATACATACACCCATAATTATAAAGTTTGATACAAACATCAACAGATGTCAACTATAAATCTAGTTCCAAGACTACATCCCAAATATGTGATTATTTCAAATTTTTTAACTTTGTTATTTTATTATGTTTACAAATTAAAAAAGGAAGCGAAATATTCAATATTGAAACTGGGCAGAGTTTGGCGCCATATCTCAGTGAGTCGCTTGCGTGCTGCGCATGTATGTGTGTCAAACGGCCGATGGCGCGAAGCTCAGCGATTGGTCGTTGCGTCGTATTGCGCACCGGGCCACGGGTATTCACATACAGTGATCTTTGGTGCGGAAAGGGGTGGGGTGAGAGTGAGAGAAAATCAACCTTCTCTCTCTCTCTTGGCGCGCTCCTCACGAGCCCATCTCCATCTCTGTCGCACTCGCGGTGCAGTATAGCAGGCGATTAGCGCGGCTCACACGCAGCCGAGGAAAACGGACGTTCGAACGTTCGCCGCGTCTTCTCGACGACACTGTCAATCGCTGAGGGATATATTAACGCTAGCTCAGTTCAGTAAATCTTAGACGAGCAACCGGTAACAGCTATCGCGACAAAGTCCGTGTGTGTGTCTACCGCGTCTCTCAAAATGGCGCGGCGGCTGCCGCTGCCGCTGTTCTGCAACTTTAAGGTTATAACGATAAGCTTGCAATTGAATTGAAGTCGCTTGCAAAAGCATTTTGCAGAAGCTTTGATCTTCATCGTCAAGCCGGTGATTGTAAGAAGGTGCTGGTGCTTGTTGTAAGCAACGGTCAAGTGGACACAGTGCATGCAAGTTATGAGGACGGCGGAATGCCCGCAGGCGGTAACAGTCGTTTCCGCGGTTACCCAGCGCGGATGTCCGAGCGCCAGCAGCTTGCGCTTATTCTGCAAATGACTTCCCAAGAAATTACATCAGGTAACTTGTCAATTCATCTTTCAGTTCTCATGTTCTCTCGCTGTCTGCTAGTGCAATTTTCGTCGTTGTGCTTATTGCGCGCGATTTCTTCTCTCGCACAACCACACAGATCTCCCCCCCCCCCCCAACCCTTTCTTAGCCAACAACGAGCACGCGCACCTTCGATCCGGCACTTGCTTTCTTTGTCGCACGCATGAAACTTATGCACCGCGTGTGCATGCCGATAAGAATCAAAACAAACATTAGCACTGTTATTGTTTTGACGACGACGACTTACCTGGAATTCTCGGAAGGGAAAATTATATGGGTCAGTACTAGATTCTAGGTATTTTTTGCTGGGCTTCACGTTACAAAAATGAATGAAATTTTTATTCAAATTTGAACTTTTTTATAGTTAATTTAATAATTTTTACCATTGATTTTTGATATTATGACGTATTAAATTTGAGTAACGTAAGTGTAGATTTATATAAAAACATTTTATTAATATTAAAGTAATGTACATAATTAGTCTATAATTGTTTGATAAATAATATAGGGTTTCTAGTTTATTTCATGATGTCTAACAGCCCTTTAAGGTAATACAGATAAATTGATCAATTATCATTATTATTGATGCATTAATTATTATCTTTTAGGTCAATCATCAAGCAGATCTGAAAGTACACTTCCATCAAACAATACAAGATCTTCACCACTGCACCAGAAAAGTTCAAAGAGCCGATGGTCCAACAAAAATGCCGATCTATTAGATGTAAGCAACTCATATAGCCGACAAGATGACAGGTTACGTCTAAATGGTTGTAATTCAAAAGAACGAAATGGTAAGTTTTATTGGTAATTGAATGGTCTTAGAATTAAAACTTTTCAAACTATTTTTTCTTAAGTTTGACGCTGCTTTATACACTACAAACGGTCGATATATTGACAATATGTCTTTGTATAAATTTTGCAATATGCATTTACCTTAATTATCGCTAACATTTCTCATTTAAACGTAAACATAAAATAGAAAATTTGCCCTAAATGAATTTTGACTAGTTGTGAATATTCAAGCCACTTGATCTTTCACACTAAGTTTTCCGTTAGATAGTTTATTAAGCTACTATGTTATCATTTTCAGATCACAAAAAATATCCGTTTTCCCCAAATCTTTTCTGAAACCACCAATCTTTGTTTTTACAACTAACGCATCAACTTTGTTGGTGTGCTATGCAGTTTCCTATTTTCCCATTATTCGCAGCATTCAGCTAAATCTTTCAAAAATATTTTAACGAAATTTTTCCCTTTAATCAAACATCAATGTACAAAAGTACTGCTACAAAATAGAATTTAGAGCAATTCCTTATCGTGAAAAATGGATCAATAGCACCGTAAATTCTTATGACCTTGATCAGTACTGATCAAAATTGCATAATTAACCGAATGTCAACTCCGTGTTACTTAATCGAACAACAAATATCGACAGATCGAAGCGTTCCCACCGAGTGCTGTCAAGAAATTGCTAACGAGTTTAAAATGTCTGCCTAGCCCACAGTATTCGCGGCTCATTAAACTTTGGCGCCCTGCCTCGCAGCAGATCTGCCTCGATTAAAGTCATTCCCGCTAGGTATATATACGTGTATGCATATCAAGCGGAGAGACCGCATAATCACACGCAAAATGGCGCTGTCGGCGTCTGTCCGCCAGATGCCGTTTGGCTCGTATCTTACACACATACAGATTTATACACGGATATATTATAGTCAGAGTTGGGATATATATCATTTGCTAAATAAGCTTTTAGCGTACGACTGCGCGGTCTCGCAAAATTCGTACTGATCGTTTTGTGCACGCGTGCCTTTGCAGAGTTCGCGGGTTCGAGTTCGCCGGACGAACTGCAGGTGAGGACTGCGAGCCCCGTGGCCGCGGAGTCGCCTGCCGAGTGTGCTGCCGAGGAGTTACCCTCCGATGAGATGCGCAGGACACCGCCACAAAACAAAGGTATGCGCGCTCCGTGGGACGTCTTATGCCTGCGAGCGGCCTCGTCTCCCGAAAACTAGCAGAAGGCCGTGACAGAGGAAAAATTTTTTCCCAATTAGCCGGTCTTTGGTCGCCTCGCAGCAGTACAGCAAGATAGTGAGAGAGGGTGGAAGAGGGGGGAAAGAGAGGGACGAGACGAGACGAGAGAGCACGAGCGAGAAAGTAAAAGAGAAGGAGGGTCGCACGGAGAGGTAGAGGGGGCATCTGTCGTCTCAAGAGAGTGCGTACGTAGGCAGGAGGTAGTCAGTCGCCTCGCGGACTTTGTTCAACTGTCTACAGTGCCACGAGCACTGTACCGCTCTTGCGGATCTCGTCGAGAGAAATATCCCCACGCGCGCACGTCGCGCGCTCTCCATTTCGATAATCGCCATTTAAACGCTATCTCTCTTACACGCTCTCTCTGTCTTGGTCGCTCGTGGAACTCTAGTCGCTAGTCGTAAATATACACGGTGTGCACTCGCTAGCTGTATGCTCCCTTCGACCGCGAGCCAGTGCGTTGGCCTCGTCGCGTTGCGTCTCGTATACCGGGTGACGACAAACGAAGCGTGCACAGGCGTGCATTGAACCTACCACCTTACACGTTGCAGTGGACAGACAAGGCTCGTCCTCACCGCGCGTCACACTCAGGCTTAACCAAGTGCGTGCCGGACGCGATGACTCGAAAAAGCAGCAGCAGTCAGTGAATGCAACACCACGCTCGTCCTCGTCAACGGTAAGTTGTAGTCTTGACGGAAGTCGCGTACGCGATGCGCGCCACGTGACCGACAGATAACACGAGATTCACGCTGATGCAGATGGAGTCGTCGAGCCCGAATGCTGCATCGAGCACGCTAGCTGCGGAAGGTGCCGAGAGTAGTGGGGACGTTTACGAGTTTAAGAGCTCCAAGGAAGCCACGCCGGTTCGCGGTACCAGCACTTCGCCGAATCCCGACAAAGAGAACAAGGACAAGGATAGAGAGAACAGAGAATCCAATGCTGGCGCTGGAAACACTGCTACAGGTTGGTCGTTATGGCTTCAAGAAATTTTTTTTTCTAATATTCGCGAACCACTTGACGAATCGATATTTCTCTGCGACAAGCACGGATAAATGAATCGGTCTCGAGATGTTACCTCGCGCGGAACTTCGATCAAGTCTGTTGAAAATACACTGATCGCTTTCATTTATCAATGAATCATAGCACGTACGTTTGCATTCTTAAAGGCCTGTTGACTGACTGCAACTGAGCTGACCTTGAGAAAAGTTTTGAAATCTTGCTTACATGACATTTTAAAGTTACATGTTTTAGTCTCAGCAAGTTTTTTAAGAAACGTTCTAAGATATTGACCCATGCTTTATGAATTGGGATTCAAAATTTTTTTACTTCACAGGATCAACAGCTGGAGTGGGTACAACCTCATCATCGACCGCAACCTCAACAACAATCACGTCTTCCAGCCCAAATAATCCACAAAATCCAAGCGGTACAATTCCAGCGGATTCGTTGTCAGCATCAGTTGCAACGGCAATGTTGGATGAACCAATGACAGCAGCATCACCGCAGTCATCGAGTTCATCGACTACTTCGACGACGAAACGTGCCTTCGAAAGTGAAGGTGGCCCTGGTGACGAGCAGGACGAGGAAGGCCGAAAAAGAAAGAAAAAGGATGCAACGGACAGCAACCCAAAAGAGGTCGGCAGCTCTAAAGGACAGGCTAGTAATAGGCAGACCGCGGGCAGGAATAACCCCGGTGTCACTGAGAAAGTCAGTACCTCGTACAAAAACCGTTTGACAAGCTTTCGAGGGCTTCTTTCCAAAATGGGACTTTCAAATCCTATATTTTTTTCTTTTCTTTTTTTTTTTTGTTGCAGAAAGTTTCATTTGTTCTAGTTTATTATCGATCGGGAAGAGATTGTTGCAATCAGCGTTATGATCGAAGTGATTCGCTCAAACACAATTTATAAAGTCCTAGCTCGATTAGCTTATAATCACACATTTTCCTTGAACGAAAACTTGATTATTTTGGCTTTAATTAATAATTGTAAACAGAGTCATTCTTATTTTGGAAAAAACCTTCTTACAATTGAATCGTTCATTACACTTTTAAGTAGTTAAAAATGATGCTTTAATGAAACATAATTCTCGCATGTATAAACAAAAATCTATAATTGCTTACAGTACAATTAGAAAACCCTGTATTTCGCAACCTACTTTTACCTACTCGCCTTTCTCTATCATAACAGATGCCAATTTTTTTTTACCGAGTCGATTTATGTAGCCGAAGTAGAACAATAAATAAACGATTCAATTCCGTATCGACCGCAGCAGTGCAGCTTTAACTGATACCTATGTATTCTTCTTTCCAATAGAGTGCCAAATCCAGCAAGCAAACTTCTGCAGTAATCACATCCAAGTCTGGTCAGAGTAGTAGTGAAAAGAGCCCAAGTGCATTGAACGCTAACAGTCCGAAACCTTCGACCACATCCACTGCTTCGAGTAACAACACCAAAGGAGCGACACCGTCAGCTGTAGAATCAGACGGTGAAGACGATCGTTCTAAAAGTTCTGACAGTGGTTCAGCACCAAAAGTTCCACCCTTGAAAATCGTCATCCCGCAGAGCACGACGTCGGAGCAAGAGCAAGGCAATCGTAATGGAAAAAGCACATCGAATAGGAGTCACCAATTGCCTTACGTCGTTGCTAGTTCTAACAGCAACGATTCTATGGACAAAGACCCGGGTACAACTGGAGCTACGAGCGGTACGACTAGTCCATTGGACAACTCAAGTGCGGCGAATAAAGGAGACGAGAAAAAGGACTTCAGCGGAGCTTTAGACAACGATTCGCGTTCAACGCACCATCAAAGAGTTTTGAGAAGTTCAAATCGATCGGGAAACGGTGGGCAGTCTAGTAATGGAGCTTACTCCAATTCTTCTCCTCTGCCTTCGAACGCTGCGGACAGATCCAACAACTCGTCACCACAGCAACGGCATCACTCGCCTACTCCAGAAGCTGGCGGAGCGTCCGAAACTGGAAAATCGGTGTCAACTGATTCGCCAGGACAAGGCTCCACAACTACAATGACGACAAAGTCAAGTAGTACAACAGAAAAATGCGAAAAAGTAGAAGTGAGGAAAGAGCCCGAACCATCTGAAAGTAGCACAAAGAAAGATGCTAGCAGTAGTGAAACGTCAAACGCGTCGTCTCAAGCACCAGTAGAATTGCATCCGAGAAAAAGGAAGATCAAATCAAATAAAGAAGCTCAACAAACAACTACTGCAGAGGCGAAGAGTGATACGCAAGAGACTGCCAGCACTAGCTCTGAGATTCATCCGCATGATCAGCCGATCACAAACTGCTATCAGTTATTCTTGAACATTAGAAAACAGGTGGGTTATTGTTTTTTGTCCAGCAGCCCGAAAGTAGCATTTACCGAACGCGGGTTGGTCGGTAACATGCTAATTTCAACCTCGCTGAGTAAAAAAAATTGTATACGCACCACGGCCGGGAAATAAGTAAGCCCATATCACGTGTTTGCCAACCGCGACTTCGCCTTGATGTCAATTCCCACGTGCTATCGACTTACTAATATTTTCCCAGCCTAGGTACATAATGTACTATTTTTCGTTAAATTTCATTTGGCTACATTATTTACCAAAAGCATTAGTAGTGTAACTTTACTTTAGTAATTTTACCTCATTTTGCGTGTCAGATTGACAAAAGAAGAAAAAATCTATTTCCCGTGCAGCCAAAGCCCCCGCAAGGTTTTAAAGACTACCTAATGAATCGTTGCACATACGTGCTAGCCGGCACGAATAAAGAACCGCTGGTCTGTCCACCGAAAGAACTTCTTGGAGTCATGAGAGAGCTCTATATCGAACAAGAGAAAGAACGTTACAGATTACGAATGCAGCACGTTGTCGAGAAAGAAAAACTAGTCTTATCTGTGGAACAGGAGATACTCAGAGTACATGGCCGAGCAGCTCGAGCTCTCGCCAATCAGTCGCTTCCATTCTCTGTATGTACCATTCTCAAGGACGATGAAGTTTACAATGTTATTACACCCGAGCAAGAGGAGAAAGACAGAAATGCTAGAAGTCGCTACAACGGCAGGTTGTTCCTTAGTTGGCTACAGGACGTTGATGACAAGTGGGAAAAAATTAAGGTAGGTTGCCAAATTATGACTGAATATGTAAATAGCAACTCTATACCCAAATTATCTTACTCGGTAAACATCATTATGTTACGTCGTAATAAGTTGGGTGAGATTAAATTACTCAATGATAAACCGACTAGAATTACTGTACGTAATCTAGTTTAAATAATCATTGAACAGGAAAATCTAGTTTACATAGATATGCTTATATATAGAAGTGGAAAAATAATGTTTGTTCTCGAATTTAGGAAGGAATGTTGTTAAGGCACCATAACGAAGCAGAATCTCTGCACGCCGTACAGTTAATGGACTGGGAATGGAAACTAAAAGAAATCGAGTTCTGTGCGATAGAAGATACACCTCAGGCAGATGATTACCACGTACCCATGGTACACGTCTCCGATGACTTTGATCTATTGCCGGCTTAATGTACTTGGACTGAATTTTTATCTCGTTCTCATTGCATTGCTCTTTAAATAACTTTTCAACACGTTATCTGTGATCTTTGCCGCGAATATGTGAAATATGTATGCTATAGAGAATGCAAGTATATATTTTTCTTTTATTTCTTTTTACTATATTTTATTTATTTATGTTTATTATTTCTTTTTTTTTTTTGAGAGAACGAAGAAAAAAGTCATTGAAAACAGCGTTGCATTTCCGTTTTCTTTTTTCCTTGAACCGTGTATCCAAACGACTGATAAATCATTGTAATGCATATACTATTTTTTTAACGCCATTTTATTGCTTAAATGTAATAATCGTATGTGATCAAACGATGAGTATGTTAACAATTTATTTATTTCCTTTTCGTTATCTTTAACGATTGTTTGCGACAAGCTTGGTAAAATCTCAATTTACAAACTTCACATTCGAATTAAATTCACCCTCACAGCTACCCCGCACTGAAGTTTCATCAAATGTACATATTTTGTAATTAGAAAAACCTCATTATAATGTTCTATTAGAAATGAAAAGTGAACCACCACAAAGATAGTGTACAGTAATAATGATAATAAAAAATACTATGACTAGACATTGTCTGGCTTATATATTTTTTTTGGCTTGGGTTTCATGGTACCACCTTGAAGATCCAATGGTTTATCATATCCCATTATCCTTATATAATGCTTCTGTTCAGAAAAGTCTTCAGCATCTAAAAACATAGGCTTACCCTTGATAGCACAAGTAGTAAACATTCCAAGTATCGTAGGGATAGTGACATCCTGAGGAGTGAACTCGACCTAGAAAGAAACATTACGATATAATTCATAAAATTTTTTCATGCAGTCCTTTGTTTACCTTTTTCTCTTTAACAAATATGTTGTAAGTAACGGCAGTATATGTATCTTTAACAGGATCATACAAAACTTGAATTATATATCTTTTTGTAACATAGTGAAGCAAGACTGGAGTCGCAACAGCAAAAGCAGCCAATACTGCAAATGTTGGTATCGTCCATTTAGTAGCAATACCTCCCATAACTGCTTTCATGTAAATTAGAGGCTGAACTCCTAAAGCCAAAAATGTCGTAGACAGAGAGAAAAATTTAATGTTTCTAACTCTGAGAGACAGCATTCCTTCATATACAATTTCCTTTCCATCTTCAGTTTTTTTCACTTCAAACTGTTCAGTCTCACTTTTGTTCACGTTTCTCTTTCTTGTTGCACCACTTAACGTAGAATACGTTTGTCGTGAAGCAGTTGACAAAGTGTATAATGCCTGAAGTAAAAAAATTATTTTTTATAATAATGTGATACTCATGCAATTGTTTATTTTGTCTATTTATGCAACAATAAATCCTAACCTTGTAATCGTAATTGTTCTGTACATGTGATAATGAATCTAAACTAATTTTAAACAAGGTACATTTTGTGGTACCAATTCGGAATCCTCGACCGAGGAAAGCAGCTCGAAAAGCCAGAGCCATGTCATAAATTTTTTAGTCTTATCAGTTGAAAATCAAAGAAAATACATCATACACGAATCAACTTTTGTACGATATTTAAACGCTGCAGCCTGCAGTACTATCTGCAGCAGGCTGTAAAGACGAGAGATCCGTCCGTGTACGAGATTCCGTTAGATCCACAAACTAGTAAGCGAATCAAAGGTTCGGTTACAACAGCAAAATCTAGTGTGGCAAACGCTAAGAATAACCCTTGATTCGAGCTACACGCACGCACAATGACAATCGAAGCATCGTTCGATAGTGCGCACATGGGCGGCGCGGAAAGTAGTTGGCACGAGGGCGGGAGCGGGAAGGAGAGTGCACGCGCGCACGTGTATGTGTGAACGTGCATTAACGCGTTCATACATGCATGCATTGCCTACAGTGTCGGTTTGGCCGGGCGTACGACAGTTAGTAGTTCCACGACGGCGTCCACGCGCGCGACCTAACAGAGAATTGCGCTTACTTTCATTTTCATTTGCTGCAGTTATGGAAGAGCCGTTGCTCATGTGAATAGACGTAGTTCTGATTCGTAGTCTATTAATTCGTAGATAGCCCGTATATGACATATCGGCTTTTTCCAGTACTCGGACTAGACAATTGACGCACGAGAGGGTGGCGCGTCATTGACTCATTGATTGCAGGATTTTCATGTGGAAGCGCACACGTTGACTAGTCACTACTAACGCGAGTCAGTGAAAGATAGTTTTGATATCCGATTGTTGTAATATATATGTATATATGTATATATATATATTTATTGCGGATTAGTAGTTGACAAAATGAAGTTGGAATTAGAGTACCTTTCTCAGGAGCATTTGTCAGGCTTCGAAAATTATAAAGTAAGTTTTTACAGAATGTCTGATATGAGCTTTCTTCAATTATGATAAACTTACACTAATTACCTCATGTCTATCCTCTACAGTATAGTTCGCTGGATACCAGTCCACTTAGTGTGTATATTATGCACCCATTTTGGAATAAAGTTGTACAAGTAACTTGACAATCTTCATTTATTTTCCATATATGGATACAACAATTTCTTATCTATTATTTAATTGTTTTTAGCTTTGTCCAAGATGGGTCGCACCAAATTTACTGACATTCGCAGGCTTCCTATTCACAGTATGGAATTTTATCATGTTTTCGATATATGATTACTACTATTATGCCTCAAGTGATGATCATCCTGAATATCAAAATATTCCAAGATGGGTCTTTGCTGCTGGAGCATTTAATGTTTTCATGGCTTATACTCTTGGTGAGTAATTTTAACAAATTTTATGAAACTCAAACAAATTGATGTACAATAAAGCAGATACGTTGGTTTTGGTAGATGGAATTGATGGCAAACAGGCAAGAAGAACAGAGTCATCTGGTCCATTGGGAGAACTGTTTGATCATGGTTTAGATAGTTGGACTACTGTCTATATTACCAGCTGTATGTTTTCTGTTTTTGGTCGAACAGAACACAGTGTATCAACTTTGAGGATGTACTTTATTTTGTGGAATGTGTTTATTAACTTTCATCTAAGTCACTGGGAAAAATACAACACAGGAGTACTATTTTTGCCCTGGAGCTATGATGCTTCAATGTTAGGAACTGTTATTGTCTTTATTATAACATACATTGGAGGACATGAGTTTTGGAAGTTTGATCTGCCTTGGGGAATTAATGCAGGTAGCATGTTTGAAATGTTCCTGTACTTGAATGCAATTGTGTCTAGTTTGCCAGTTGTACTCTGGAATATTTATAAGTAAGTTCCAACTGAAATAACTGTGAAATTTTATTTTATAATATAACAATTTATTATGAATAAAAAAAATTTCAGGTCATATAGAGATGAAACTGGGAAAATGAGATCATTTTCAGAAGCTATAAGACCATTAGTACCATTAGCAGTTTTATTTACTATTTGCACCGTATGGGTAATATACTCTCCAACTCAAATTATAGAGGCAGACCCAAGAATAGTTTTTTTTACCGTTGGAACTATGTATTCCAATATTTGTGTAAATATCTACTAACATTATTATATATTTTTCATACTCTATAACCACTTCTAATTTAAAGTTATTTTATTCCAGTGCCGACTAATTGTAGCACAAATGAGTAACACAAGATGTGAAATATTTTCGTGGATTCTTTTCCCTGCTGCTGGCACAGCATTGTTAGTGTTCATTTTTCCTAGTTTAGATTTGAAGCTGATGTATTTATTAGCTATCGGTGCTCTACTAGCTCACATACACTATGGCACATGTGTTGTAAGTTTCATAAATGAAAAAAATAATTTTACTCTGCAGAATATTATGCCATTACTTAACTGATTTTAAATATCGAACCAATTTACAGGTGCGGCAGATGTGTCGTCATTTCCGAATCAATACGTTCAGAATAAAAAATCGTGCAGATTGACTACTTGCCGACAATACATGCTGAAAACGAAAGTAATAGGTGATTAGTTGCTATAAGGAGCAAAAACAAACTAAAAAAGATAGAGATCTGACAAAATTTCATCAATACGGAACAGCAGAGATCATACTGCACAGTAATATTTTTGTATGACCTTTATTTTAATTTGATTACTTAATGCTTTTTTCAATTCAAAGACTAGATTAACTTAAAGAATTCCACAGTCATTCACAAAAATTCACTTGCATTACGTTGCCACTAGTACCTGCGAAATATTGATTCGATATGCCGCCATAGTAAATCTAATCTCATTCTACTGTGATTAAAATTGTGATTGCTTAGGGAATGATCGCAGCATTAAGAGTTAGCACTATTTAAAAAAAAGAAAATGCTTGAATGAAATTATTAAGAAAAAAACACGTATCCTTACCTTAAACAACTACGTATAATAGTTAGAATGATACAGCAAATTCGTTACACCATAGATTGAAAAATTCTATACCTATTCTACCTATACAATAGATTTAGTTTGGTTGTCTCGTATCTAGGATAACTGCACCTTCTTCGTTTTTATCATGCATTGTCCCTCGGACGTATGTTAAAAAAATATACATATAAATATATATGTATATGTATATTTTATGCATATATATACACACACATAAATCTTGATTCCAATTAAGACTTTAGCCGTGTGTTGGCTGTACTTGATGTGCTAGTTGAAAGCTAGTTATGTGTGAGTGTGTTTAATTGAACTCAAACACCATGTTCACTCTTGCCTATTTGATCAACAATGTGCTTGTTGCTTGCATATACGTCGTATAATTATTTTTTTCTTGATCGGGCACTGCGTTGATGAGACAAAGTGAAATCTTATTTTAATGGGTGTAATTAACCAAATTTTAGACTTTTACGAATATATTAAAAAAGTGCTTTATTGTTATACTAAAGTACAATCATGAAAATGAGTGAATCAATTATTGTGGGAAAAAAAATAACAATGAACTTTTGTAGAAGAAAAAATTTTCATATTATATCATTATAATTTCACTTTGAACAAATACTACACTAGTGAAAAACGACAAATTTTTGAGATACTATGTCTTTAGAAAAATAACTTCATAGTGCAACGTATTACTGTATTCCCCTAGTCACATAAGATCATTGAAATGTTTTGTTAAGCATGCATTGGCTGTTTGAACGTAATTCATATAATTATTATATTATAATTTTTTTAATAAAAAATTACCAAAAGTTTACAGCATTTCTAAAAATCTTTGATTCTGATTGAATCAAGAGATAGTTTATAAATTACGTTTATTTTTTCCGTAAAACGTCAATGTTATTTTTTTGTTTGTATTCAAAAATTCGTTTAGTCATGATTGATGAATTTTGATAAGACGATTTTCCAAAGTTTTTTTCAATAATCACATTAACTTCCGATAATTATTGTGTATAATATAAGAAACGCATTCTCATAAATAAAAAATATAGTTTGCTATAATTATGAGCCGGATATACATGAATTTTGCTTGTAATTTATAATTGTCAAGTAACGGCATTATTATGTAATTTTATGCTCTCCAAAAAAAAAAAAGAAAAAAAAGTAAACCAACAGAGTATGTACAAACTATTTGACACACATTGTGCCGTGTATTGTGTGTGTATATATATATATATATAATATGAAATAATTGTAAAACTGGTTTTTTTACATGTAGTATATTTTTAACTTAGTAATTGTCTATATGTTCACACAGCCTTGTTATGCTTGATCTGCATCGATAAAATTTGAATGTCGATGTTAAATAAATACTTGAGCTTGTACCAATGTATATTTAAAATATCAAACTTAGCAGTTAAAAAAGATCGTGGAGTTTTCCTTCTGATTGTTTCATCAGTGTTGCAAGTACGATTTCACGTAATTACAAAAAAAAATAATAAACAAAGAAATTAAACGATATAATTACCATTGTATGCGAGGTATTTTATATAGACATCGTATTTTACTTCTCGATTATTTTTTCGTTTGGCAATCAACACAATACCGAAGTAGTTTGTTATGAAACTACTACTTACAAAATTACAAGCTAAAAAAGAATACATAATCAAAAGTGTGTCTTATAAAAAATGTTTATGTCACAAAAATATTGAAGTATATGCATTTTACAAAATTAATAATTGTATTTTATCCTTTTTATAGCGCTTATTATTTTACACTAGATTATTTAATATTATTGACAAATATCAACTGTTCTTAAAAGTTTCCATATAATCAGCTTTAATTTTCCTTCGTTCGTCTGGAGGAGGAAGTTCTGGAACAATTCCTTTCCATCTACGATTCATTGAAATTGACCACTGTACGAAGTTGAACACATTTGAATTATTCATCGAAAATTGTCGACATACTTCACGCATAATAATTTATATACGCACCCAAAACGATTTGCAGGCTTTGTAATTTTCAAAGTAAATTTTGCAAGGGTCTTCTTTAAAATTATTATCCGACATACATTTGTTCACCAAATGGTGTTCCTGGAAGAACATAACAATTAGTATTCCTATCTTTATAGAAATTAGCTTCTGTGCACGGCGATTATTCACTTGCAGACACGGATTGCTGTCTTCGGAATCAAGTCTGCCTTGCAATTTTGATTGCGCAATTTTCTTTTCCTCGCTTAGCCGTTGACGTTCTGCTCTCCTCTCTTCAGCATTCATACTGCATAATCATTCATAAAAAGAGAAGGGTTTCAAATTCATATAAATGTAAATATATATATTACACTACGAGGTTCATCTCATCGAAAAATTTTTATTTAGCTAACATCTAACCATCGACGACTATAAAACAGAGCACGCGGTGTAGTCAAAGAAAAGAGTCGTGTTTTGTATTGCATCCTAATATAAGTATTAATTATTCACGTGGAGTGCCGCGAGATTTACCTCATTAGTATTCATCAAAGCAACACACATGGACAAGCGAACGTTATCTATGTTGCATGCGTGCATAAACTCAAGGTAAAGTTATTGGCTTTTATGTTTTTTTTTACCACAGACGCCACGATTTGAGTTTAATAAAAGGCGCCAGTGTTCAATCGACGACCGCGTGTGCAGTTTTTCTTTTTTCCGGTTGCAGCTGTGCGATCTTACGTAAACAATCAGCACGTCATGTTATTTTTTCCCGGAATGATAATTTTCGAGCTTTTTGCGAAGACGAACATAAAGATGACGTGGCGAATGTTTTGTTGTTCGCTGTAGTAATGTCAGTTTGAAAAGAATTCCACGCTGGCATCGTTAAATTGATCAATATTTCAATCGTTCGTACTTTTTACGACTGCGAATTAATGATTATAATGTCCTTAGGGGAAAAAGTGTGATACGGCAATCCAAGTCCACGAGAAAAAGATATTTCACAATACTTATGTTGCAGATAAATAATTGAACGCACTGATTGCTCTGATTCGAGGAATCGAACTGAATGGAATATTTCAAGATTTAAATCACTACTGGAATATTTGCAACTTAGTAAATGTATATACGTTCTCACAGCCTTGTTATGCTTGATCTGCATCGATAAAATTTGAACGGTCGATCGATGTTAAATAAATATTTGAGCTTGTACCAATGTATATTTAAAGTATCAAACTTAGCAGTTAATATACACATCATCATCGTTTGGTTTCAATAACTAGATCGAGTGTATAGCAAATCAAAAAAAATACACGAATGGACTAATGATACATGAGTGAACTAAGATAAGCTGCGTGCACGGGTTATGAACGCGAGTTGTAAACAAAGTGTAAAAAAGTCGACTTAAACAAGTTTCATCATCTTCCCTCGTCGAAAAATATTTCATTCATTTGTTTATACGAAACACATTCATCGTAATTACATGAAAGATAATACCTACATGAGTAAAGTAATCAGTCTTTCTTCGTTATATACGTAGGTGATAAAGATGTAATCTTTCACAACAAAAATAATACGATGACTATGTTGAATGCAACAAATTTATAAAAAAAGATATCCGCTGTATCTGTCTATCGTGGAAACATCAGCTGCCTGGATTATACGTGTAAAATCTTTGAAGCTCGTGATTTTGGTACAACTGACGTGATGTAAAAAGTCTACGCATGCGTACTTCCATCATTTAAATATGACCCACCGCCATCTAATAGAGTAAAGTAAAGTAAAATCATTTAAATATAATTTGTTGAATCACTCATTGTAAATCTTTAATGCCGTTGTTAGAAATTTTGTATTTATTGTACGCTCAATTTAGAGTACGCGATGAAATCATATGCCCTATCGAGTTTTAAATATATGGCGTGATTTACATATAAATGTCATACCTATAATGGAATGAAAACAACATTTTAAAGCAGTAGGAACACAGCATTTCTTGCGATATATATTCAGTAAAATTATTGAATTAGTTCGTTATCAATACAGTAACTTTGTAAATTCAAACTGCGCACAATGGCAGTGATTAAAATTTCTTTAGTACCGGTGTAGGTAATCTTACGATAACGCTATATTTATATATTGTATCTATGTACATGGCCGCACACCATTGCATTTATATAATAAAACCACGAACTCGTGCTACACCAGTGCAAAAGTCATTTCAAAAAGTCACGTGATCTGCTCCAAAACATGCCAATTGGTCGACAAGCCAGTACATAATCCAATCGCGATCAGTGCTCTTGCGAGGAGACATGTAGGTAAACGTACCTACACATAGGTGTACACACACATCTCGTGAGCGAGAGAGAGAGAGAGAGGGCGAGAGCGGAATGCACGTCGAAGTGGGAAAACCGTATGCGCCGAGGAAGTGAATAATGGAAGAGTCGTGAAGGGACTGCTCTTGCCATCCTCGTCCCAGCCGTGTGCGTGTTGTATGTGTGTGACTCGTCGTCCCGTCAATTTAATCCTCTTCCATCGCGTATAGTCAATAATATCTTTACCCTCGCAAGTGCGCGCAAGACAAGCAATAGTTGAAAATTACGTGAAAAGTGTCTCTCTGCTTGCGTGTGTGTGTGTTATAAGTGTTAGCTTTCGCTTGAGAGCGCGAGATCGTCGTGCGCGAGGAGAAAACGACGGTGTAGCGGCCAACGGCTCGAGCAGGTGTCCGTGACGTCATGTCCAACATGCCAATACTCACTGCATCGAAATGCGGCTGTTTTGATTCACACTAGCCGAGCTTAGCGAGCGAGCCTGAGAGAAAAAAGACAGATAGAAAGAGAGAGAGAGAGAGAGAGAGAGAGAGAGAGAGAGAACGAACGAACGAAGAAGGCTGCTACTACACACGTACACAGTACAACGCAACGGGGGAGTCACTATATTGACTCATGCATTGATTTGCGTTTCCACGCTTTTCATCCACAGTCTTAAGCTTAGCACACACACATCACCAAGATGTCCAAACATAAACTTCACCACCAGGTTAACAGCAATGTCGTGGCTGTTAAGAGCAAGGTAAGTCTAGCAACGCGCTTGTCCTTGCTCTAGTATCCAAATTGAAAATTACTTTTCGTGCTATGACTCGCTCATTTTTTTGTTTCTGTTGTCTATAGTTTGATGCTGATATCATTAGATTTTCCATCAACCGTAATGACTCCACTAGCTACGAAGACTTCAGAAAATTACTGGCCGAGAGACATGAGATAGGCCCTGATTTGAAGTTTAACATTTGGTACACAGATCCTACAGATGGGGATCTCCTTCCTATTAATAATGATAATAATCTAGCAAGGGCAATAGTTGCTGCTAAGCCTCTTTTGAGAATTCTTATTCAAAGGCAAGGTATGTATACATTTCCTTAGTTATTACTATATAGACTAATGTTGAACATTATAGAGTTAGATTATTGATGTGTGATTTTGGTAATTATAGGAGAAGGATTGGAGGATATGAATGGAACCAGTACAATAAAGCATAAGCATAACTTGATATCCAGTATCTTAGGTGGAACACCTGGCAAGCCAAAACCACTTGCCATTTCAAATCCTCATGATTTCAGACAGGTTAGTTAATTTACGACCATATTCCCAGCGATCAATTGATAGTTACTAGTCAATAAATTATGTTTACGTAGGTGTCAGCAATCATTGATGTTGATATTCTGCCTGAAACCTGTCGCAGAGTGAAACTTTTAAAACATGGCTTGGACAAGCCACTTGGTTTTTACATCAAGGATGGTGACAGCTATAGAGTTGGTCCTAATGGTGGAATCGAAAAAGTTCCTGGCGTTTTTATAAGTAGACTAGTACCAGGAGGTTTGGCTGAGGGCACTGGCCTGTTGGCTGTAAATGATGAGGTGCTAGAGGTCAATGGTATCGAGGTGGCTGGTAAAACCTTAGATCAAGTATGTTTTATTTTTCTTTTTTTAGTTTCTAATATCTTTAGAATACAGGAACTTTTGTAATAAGTGAATTAATTTATTGAAAAATGTATATCTTATCTATCAAGTAATTGAAGGAATCTTGTTATCTATTGCTTTGTCGAATGATATTGATACTTATCACTGTATTACGGAATATAGTATATATTTAGTTCATTTTATAAATGCATGTCTTAGGTAACGGACATGATGATCGCGAATTCATCCAACCTAATAATCACAGTGAAACCTGCAAATCAAAGAGCCGCGTTGTCTGTGCCCCGTCGAGGTTCGTTCTCGCGCAACAGTCAACTCTCGTCGGGTAGTCAGCAGTCGATGCAAAGTGCAGCCACTGGAAGCGACGAGGATGCTGACGAGATCGTAGATTTGACTGGAGTCAATTTGCATGACGATGCAACAAGTTCGTCTCATCAATCGCATCATCATCATCATCACCACAACCATCGTTTTAGTCACCACGACCAGGGTGTTCTTCATCTCTGAATGTCTTTGTCTGATTATTCACCCGTATTTCAAACATGCATCTGAAAATACTCTTACGGAAAAGGCAGGTAATCAATTAGCTTTCTCAAACCGACGCGAATGTGTTCGCTAAATTGGGTACACTATATAAAACACAGTGCCTCGAAAAACAAGAAAAATTAGTCCATCAGTAAAAAAAAGAGTCTTAAAGCGAGAAAAGAAAACACTATTTTTCTATAAAAATGTTTGTTCTAATGAATATTTAAGGGCAATAATTACTTAAACAAGATATCAAATATTTTTATTGTTGAATAATGACACTTGTGGAGAAAAAAATCTTTGATCAAACATTTATGAATATTTCGCATCTTGTAGAGGATCGTTGACTAGTAATAAATTGACGATCACAATGCCATGTGCTGATTTATAAGGTGCAAAGATATACTAATGAAAGTCGCCAACTATTGTACATTGTCAAATGTAAAACATTGCCTCGAACAACAATAATGGATAAATAAAAAGTTCGTAGGCAAGGTTAGCTCGCGAATTAAAAAATAACGTGGCTTTTGCCAAACTTGAGTTAGGTAATGCAATGATATTTAATCATCTATTAGAGAAATATCCAAAACCAACTTAGCAATATCACGACTGTCATTCAGGTATTGTTAAGATTATTATATTCAGCGATCGATTTGTCAATGTATATTATTTAGTACTTAATTATTTTATGGGATATTTTGAGCGTACTTAAAGAGTACATGTATTATTGCAATTTATCGGATGCCACGACAGTAGGATTTTTCCAAATCAAACTTAGTTTTTTACTTGTGTTTTTAGAAATTGTTTTTTTACATCATCATTTTACAAGTTAATCAATTTCACTCGTAAAAATCTCGTTACCTTGTCTAGAATGTACCACGTAAATGCTACGTTAATTATCGTTATAATTGTTTATATCTTACGTCTCCATTTTTTTTGCACAAACAGTGAAAGAATTTGATATTTGTTTAGATTGGAATTTCTGTGATGATTTTTACGTATGCTTTAATATTCATGGCTTGCAGCTGAAATAATTAATTCATTCGATATAATTTTAGTATTCTAATTAACTCACGTGGAATATACCGATTGTATAATCTATGGTGTAACTTTTAATTTATATTTTTTACATTTGAAATACATGGACGTAAATGTTGATTTGAAATAATGCATTTTCATACATCGATTTCTTTAGAATTATATTTACAATTTAAAATCTTCATTGTTACTCATTTTACCATGTATATGCTTGTCTATCATTTATTAAAATCAGGGCATAAACTACAAAAATCTTATTAATCAAAAATGAAATAATGAAATCTAGATATTTAATATTTTTTCTCGTTTACGTCTATATGATACATTCGCACTCACACAATAACAAATAAAAAATCACTTTAGGTAAAACATTCTATTAATATCTGGTAATTGTATATAAATAAAAGGACGTATTTCAATAGATTAATTAACAACAGAGGCCTTTATCGAATATATATTTGTAAATAAGTAGAGGTATTGAGAATCGATTAGCTCGAAAAGAACTATTATATATCAACTGAAATCAAATTTGACCAGTCGAAAATACACGTTCTTGTTGCAAAATGTAATGTTAAAGAACAACTTGTAATCGCTCTTTTCTGCGAAGTAGTTTCGAGAAAAAAAAACGATAAAACCTTCTCTTCCGTTAAAATAATCGCACTCGTGTTTCTCAAAAAAGGCGAAGGTTTTTATGAGGTGTCGTGTACTTCTTAGCATGTTGAAGTTTTCGAATTTTAAATCCTTATACTTTTTTAAACGAATGTGTTAATTGTTATCTGATAAGCAATAGATATTAAATTGTATAAATGAAAAGAACAAATTTTTTTAACTCTATGCGCAGCGTTTTTGTCACCCTGCAGCTATATAAGACATATTTAAAAATATGCATTATTGATTAATACTATATATTATATTATGATTATATAATGTAATAGAAGATTAATTGTTTTGCTATCCATGTACTTATTCGCGCGAAAAGAAGAAAATGGACATTAAAAGGTCCAATCATGTCGACCGATATTGCGGTAACAACTTTTATTTTTCCACAAAAAGATGAAGTAAAACTTAATGAATTTAGAGTTTGATTTTTTTACCACACACGACTAATAAAACGTAACGTAAAAAAGCTGCGCCTTTTATCTCTCCCCAGTAACAGAGTTGGTGAGTGCGATCTTACGTTGATTAATAAAAAGTCATAGGAGATATATCTACTATATATTATATATTCTTATGTGAATATTATTGCGATTCGTTATAAACCTGCTGCCGTCAAGTTGCGTACTACTGTCGATCTTTTCTTTTATCTTGAAAAAATATATACGTGAGTGCAGTTTACGTAGACTTTTTTACAAGAGTCATCGCACTTATATGTTATTTTTTTTCCCTGAACTGATTCGAAAATCAGAAAAATTTTTCGAAAGTATTATGATTGTATAGAGAAAGACTTAGCGATTTTTGTATTGATATTGCGATGGCAGCTGATGGGAAATAAAGTATTTTACTGTAAAAAAAAAATATCTCGTGTTGTTGCTATTTTTCCTTCGACAATCATACGGCATCCAAAACAATTGAGCGAAAATTGCTGTTAGTCTCCAGTAAATCTTGCAAAAGTATCATAACCACAAACACTTTTATAAACCTTTTTCTTTTGTACTTTTTTTACCCGTTGTTTATAATGACCTTTGCTAGTTCATCGATAATCGTATGATGTCTTTTGCCGATTATGGTTACAACGTTTTTCCATTCAACTCGCAAGAGGACGAAGATGTTTTGGAAATCTGCGGGGACTGTGTTTTGCCGAAAAATATATTCGAAGGCGATTCAGGAAAATCCTGTTATCACGTGATAATCGAGCATCTCATCGATCTTGGCTCTTACACTGAAAATGAGCTCGCAGCCGCCAGAAAGGAGTTAGAAAAGTTTAAAACTTTAAGGCTTACTTGGGAGCAGATTGAGCAGCTTAAAAATGTAAAAATGTTGATGAATGCAGTGTGAATATCAATCAGTTAATCGCTTAAAAATTTCAGTTTGGATTGGATTTCAATCAAAACGAGGACATAGGTTGTAGTCGAGCTTTGATCACAAGTAAATTCTAAAAACCTCCTAATTACTTATTATTCTGCAATCGTCACAAGCAACCAACCTTCACTCAATTATTTTTCTAGTAAACTTGAATGACAGTTCGTGCAATGAGAATAGCAATCAGGCGAGAAACGTGAGTCAATTTTCCAGTGCAACCAAGCGAATAATTCTTTCAAATTCCCTATTAAATCAGGCTACAGGCATCTCATTATTCTGCAAGAATTCCGATCTCAATTGCCGTAGCAAAGTCATTGACGAGGAATCATTCCGCGCGACGATCATTCAAAAAGACTCGGAAATCATCTCTCTAAAGAACGAAAATGCCGTGGGTATCGATGATGTCGTTCATTTGAAACATAGCTAAAACTCGTTTGTTATGGTAATCAGGCGAAAGAGATGGAGTTACGCGAACTCGAGGAGCAGAATAAAGACTTGGAGCTGATAAAAGATAAGTTGAAGGACGAGATCGATTTGTTGGAAAGCAGTTCGAGAGTTCGTATCGCGTGTTGTTCTCCAACGCTTGAGGAGACCAAATAATAGTTTGCAAACCTTTGTTATTTGAGTTTTCGCCCTCAGATATCGCAGTCGCAAATCGAGCGTATCGTCAAGCAGAAGAACAAAGAGATCCAGATATCGCGGGAGAGCGTACGTAGAACGCAATTATTGTGGAGCAGTGACAGTCAGAAAAATGATAATTCTTTTCGCGCAGAGCGAGAGGTTGGGCCAAGAGTTACAGGAGGAGCGTAAAGCGAGGATACACGTCGAAAGGAAGATCGAGAAGTTACAGAAGGAGCTGCAAGAGGCGCACAGTCTTCGCAAAAATTTGTCGGTAAGCTAATCGTAGCTCGAAAAAGGCAGCTCTGAAAATTAAAAGAATCGTTGAAATGTAGGATGAGTTGAACACGATGAAGCGCCGAGTTCAAATGCTGGAATGTTCAAATGCGACGAACCTGGCGAGAATGAAGCAGTTACAGATCGACCGCGACAGTCTCTACCAGGAAAATTGCGAGAACGTGGACGAAACTGAGAAACTGCTCGACATCATCGAGGGGACGGACGAGAAATATCGCACGCTCAAAGTATCCGTCAGCGTTCGATCGAATTTTTCGTCAACTTTCGCACTGATCCTTCCGTTGACAGGCAGAATTGTCCGCAGCGAGAGAAGAGCTGAGCGTCCGCGAGCAGAAGCTCGGCGAGTGTCGCAACCAACTGGAAACGATGCAGCGCGAGGTAGGCAAACTCATCGGTGATTTGGTCGGTTGTCTCGGCGCTGAAATCGAGGAAGATACGGAAGATGTTTACGCGAGAGCAAGAGAGCTCACCCGGGGACTCATCGATGTTGTGAAGGAGCACGAACAATGTTGGGAGCAGAGGGTCAGTTTGATCAAGGAGATCGATCGGCATAAGGCTATAAATCAGGATCGCGATACTGGTAAAGGACAGTCGACTTGGAATCTTGAAGAAGGTTTGATCGTTGGCTGTTCACAGTTGGTACGACGGAGATCGAAAGTGCAAATCGCGAACTTGCAAGGCTAAAGCGCGCCGTGACGAGCTTGGACGACTCGAAAGTGAGTTAGTTCGTGGAAGTGTCCCGGCTGGATGAAACAATCGATTGCTCGCGTGTAGGTTGCGCTGAAGAAAATCGGAAGTGACGTGATCGTTCGAATGGACAGTCGGAGATTCAAGAGAACCGAGCAAGCTTGCCAGAAGCTTGCCAGCGAAGCTTCGCAGGCTCTTCAGAAGCTGGATCAGACTATCAGCGAGCACGAGGTTTACAGGAAGTGCGAGAGCTTCTTGTTACTGGAATTGGAGAATTTGCAAGAGGCTCTGAACGGCGCGGAGAGGACTATTAGTGGTACGAGCGAGTCTTTTTCTCTAACACGCTTAGAGAAAACAAGTTACAGTGCGGCAGATTTAACTGCGTAGGTTTGGACTTGGACGCGAGTCTCAATCAACTGGACGTGGATTCTCCACTCGCTGAGCTCGAAGAAAAGCGAAAAAAACTGCTGGAAGAGAGCGGAAATAATTCGATCGTCGAGAGCGTTTTGTCGAAACAGCTTGTGCAAAGGGTGCAGACTTCCAAGCAAATCGTCGTGAGAATTACGTCCGCTTTACGCGAGGGTACGGCCAATGAATTCTATCCGAAAAATGCTCGTATTGATTTGTCGGGTGGGCGCGCGAGTAGATTCGATTTCGAAGACGACGTACAACAAGAAGCTGGAGGAGCAATTGCAACAAGCTCTCGCGGCAGTCAACGAGGTAGGCGTTGAAAAGTGTCAGCTGGAGAACGAGTGCAACGAGTGCAGGAATCGATGCAGGGAGCTCGATGCCAAAGTTGAGAAATTGCAGGCGGAATTGACGGAGAAATCCAAAGATTGCCGGTCTGTAAGAGAAAAGATGCAAGCCAGGTTTGTCTCCTTCGAGCGCTCACCGGAAAACGCACTGTTCTTTCGACGTTTCTTCTCAAAAGATTGGATCACTTCCGCAAAGAGAACGACGCCCTAAGCAAACGGCTAACGCTGACCGAGCGCCTTTACCAAGACAGTCGCTCGGAGAACGCGGCACTGCACAAGGAAGCCCAGAATCACGAGCTCAAACTGCAGGAGTACAGCAAGATGAACGACTATCTAAACAGCAAAGTCGAGGAAGTGACAGCGATGCTCGCGCAGCAAGAGCGAGCATTCGTTCAAGAGACGATGCGGAGCGTGGATCTCGACGGCTTCGGTTCGCGATACGACACGATTATCGAGCTCCAGCGCGAGAAAGAGGAGCTATGGAAGAAGCTCGCGATCAAGGAGTCGCAATTGGCCAACCAGTCGACGTGTAACGAGAAGCTGCAGATGAGTTTGAGCAAGATACACGAGGAGAACAAGTTTCTGGAGAAGGTTATCGAGAGCTTGAAGAGGGACAACGAGAGGATGGAACAAGGCGCGATCAACGGGGAGAGGATCAATCTCGTCGTCAAGTGCGACAAATTGCTCGACAAAATCGAGAGTATTAATAAGCTCGCCAAACCCTGTCAGAAGACGAGTTCGACCAGCTACACTGACACGGCTGTCCGGGGATTCGAGAAGGAGATCAAGAGTTACAAGGAGAAAGTGAGTACGAACGTGTCGGAGTGATGGCAGGATCGCTTGATGTGTGGTTTCGATGTAGCTGCGTTACCAGGAGAAGGAATTGCTGATGAAGGAGAAGGAAATCGTCGACCAGAACCAAAAAATCGAGCAGCTGCAGAAGGCCAGGGACGAGATCTCGCCGCTCCGAAAGCGGCTCGAAGCCTTGACTCGCGAGAAGTGTCAGATCGAAGACGAGCTCAAAGTTCGTTAATCGCTTTGGCGATGACGAGTTCAAATGTCACTTGACGCCATGTATCCTTACAGCAAATGCAAATCAAGTACGAGGACAAGCTCGCCAAGATGTACAAGCAGTACGAACATTCCAAGCTCGAGCTGCTCAAGAGGCACAACGAAAGTATAAAGCAACTCGAAGACAAATACGCCGAGATGGCGCGCGAAGAGGAGATCGGTTCTCAAACTTGGCTGCAGGTAATTGTTTATTGCTTTTCGATGTTTTTACATTATCAGTTTGTTTTGTTAATGAGTTTAGTTGTAAATGTAAAATTTGTTAATCATTCGGTATGTCAGAGCTTTAGTTTTGTAGTTCATACGCGTAGACGGACGACCCTGTAAATTGATGTGCATTTAAATTAGGTTATATTGATGAGGTATATTATTTTGATTTTTTATCAAGATTGTAATTAATATAGCTTAAGTATTTATCAAAATGGTATTGAAATCGTTAAATCGTTCATTTCAATTCATTGAAAGTTTTTCGATTACGCTGTAAAAAATAAAGCATCACTGATTCAAACAACGCGAGCAAGCCCCGCAGATAAGAAACTGTCAGAATCGTCATAAGGTAGTCAAAGAAAATGAGCAGCGTAGAAACGGACTGCTGCAACAAGTGGAGAGAACTCGATAAACGTAGCTACAAAGCAACCGAACCGCCCAACAGACGCTGAGCGCGAGCGAGATGCAGACGCTGCACGACAAAATTTGCAAGAGCCAAGCGTGCCCGAGCATCCCGTTCGAGCGCGATCACCACGAGGAGCAGAGGAAGGCGACGCTGTCGAGCAAAGCTTCGGTCTCGAGTTACGGCAGCAAGCGTCCGCTTCCAGCTAAGAAAGGTATACGGTAGCAAGCTCGCCCGCGACGATCCCGGATCGCGCACTAAACCGGCGCCGCCGTCGTCGTCGTCACTAGCAGCCGACGCGAGGTCGGTGAAAAGTTCGTCGTCGAAGCCCGGCAGCCGTCAGAGAGTGCTCGTCGCCGAGAAGGACGCCTCCGCGCGCGGCAGACGATAAACAACGAGCAGAGTGAGAGAGCAGCGAGCGAAAACCTCGCACCCCCGCTGGTGATTGATACAGTAGGTGTTTAGCGCCGCTCTTGCTCGCGCGCTCCTTATCGTTTTTAATGACACTCGCTGAGTCAGCGAGAGCTGCAGCGCTCGAAACTTTAATATCACCGCACGTGCACCACTCGCTCGCTCGCTCGCTCGCTCGCTCTCGGCTGGATCCGATTTCGCCAAGGAGTGTTTGACGAGTGACGCGCGCGAAACTGTTCCGCTCTACTTTCTTAATCCCCCCCCCCCTTCCCTCCCAACCGCCCACTGCAGACACGCTCGTATCGATGGAAATTTTTTCTCGCGATACTCAATGTACGCCTTTCGATTTTCACTCTTCCCGCGCACGAGTTCGTGTACGATGCTAGGCTCTGGAATTGGGAAAATAAATCATTACTTTTTATGACCTGCAAATAGGAGACAGTACAGTGTTGTTATGCTCGGCGTCGGGACAATCGAACTTTTGATATGCACAACTACGCAGTCACGCTGAATGCGTTGCGACCAATGAGAGCAAAATGACGAAAACTTAGTTGTCAAATGAAAACGATATCGAGAAAATCACCACGGAAATTAAGTCAATCAGCGCGAAGGAGAAGAAAAAAAGAGATGCCAAGTCGTTAAGCGTTTCATGCTGTTTACAACCCCCTAGAAAGAAAGTCAAGTTCATCCCCCCACCCCCATAAAACCAAAGCGGGAGGCGCGTTACTTTTGAATTTCTGTCCATTAAAATTCAATGTCAATTGCGCGCCGGCGTATCTCCGCCTCGTCAGATAAGCTGCTCGCTCTCTTTCACTTTTAAAATTACGGAAGGGTGACGCTCCCCGCGCGACACGCGAGCAGGGGGCTATATATTTTTGAAGGATGGCCGAAATTAGATCGGAGATTTTTATGTGTCGGCCGTTTGAAAGTTTTTATGGTCGCTGTGTTCGGAGATCGCGCGGTTCATTGATTTCGGAAACTGGCGTTTAGTTTGTGTGTATGGCTTTAAATTGGCGGGCCGTTCATATAGATATATATATATATTTTTTTTCTCGATGGATGATTTCACCGTCAGGGCGATTGATTCATATTTTTCGATATACTCGCGTGTTTCAGATTGGCTGGTTATTAATTGGATACTTGAAGAATTGGATCAAAACAGTTCGGTATTCGAGGCGTGAAAAATTGTAGCGTGTCCCCGCGCGCGTCATGATTTTAAACACGTTCGGAGAAAGATCGACGCGCATAAAAACTGTGTTCCGCTCGAAGCGCAATTGTCGCTTTGATTTTCGAAATTGCAAAAATCGCGTTATCCGGGATGGAAAATTCACAAGATTTTCGTCATTCGAGTGCCGCGAAGTAACAGGAATATCCAATTCTCACCAGCGTCGTTTATCCGTAAGCCAATCTCGCACGAGTCGTTAATCACGCTCGCGCATGCAGAGCGCACGACGGGCTTAATTTTAATTATGAGATAATCAGCGTAGCCACGCGATTATCCTCGCGTTCAACAGGGGAGGAATGGGAGTGGGGAAGGGGGGAGGGGGGAGGGTACAACAATGTATTACGCTCGACCCCCCCACCTCCGTTTCGGCCGCAAACGCGCGACCGCGATGCGACTCACCCCTCAACAATTTGTTAACTGCCGTCGAATTAACTCGCGCGAGGCGCTGTCCTTTGAGAGCCAACGCTCGTTAGTCGAATCCTCTCGCACTTCGATTGACTCTCCGCGCGACGCGGAAAGACGACGGGGAGTAGTCTCTTTCTCCTTGAAAATCAAATCCGTGATTCGATTCGGTACACTAGCCGGATGGGGGATACGACGTTTTCCTTTCGACGGGACGCTGCTGTGATGATGCTGTGCGTTTGCGATATTGCGACGATTTATTGGCGTGCGTCCGAATGGAATGCCCACTGGACTAATACACTCTGATACTTTCTACACTTGCGTCGGTTAAATCTTTAATCTGACTATCAAGGACGCAAGGCAAAACGTTAATATGGCAAAGGGTTGTCAAAGAAGAACACGATCGGTAGCGAGCCAAGGGGAATGGTAATTGTCGAACGTGAAATTGCCGCTACATCTATGTCGACGTACCGAGTCGATACAGATATGTCAGTTGCCATCTACAATTAGACCGAAATAGCGTGATTTTGCGTGAGGCAGCGGCAAGCGAGAGCGCAATTAAGAAATCTACTCGGCCATAGTCAGAAGCGTAAGAGAGAGAGAGCGAGAGAGAAAGCTAAATCCAGTCTGCCTCCATTCCCACATAGCCTTAATAGCATTACATACGTCCTTCCGCTCGATCGGCCGCGCTCAACCGGAGGGATATTTATATCGCTTCCCCCGCCGTAGATGAGAAAAGTTCAGAGACACCGAGAGAATAAGATCTAAGCCTTATTCGTTCTCTGTCTGTCTGTCTGTCTCTCTCTCTCTCTCTCTCTCTCTCTCTCTCTCTCTCTCTCTCTCTCGATATGATTTACGGCGCATTCGCTTACCGAAATTTGTTTAAAACCACTCGCGAGAGAATGAGAGAGTTGTGAGCTCGGATATTATATGGATGCGGGTTTTGCCCCCATTTCGCGCCACATTGAAGCGAACTTTAAAGTCGACAAAAAGATGGGCACAAGGGGATGATGCGGCTGATTTAATAACACGGGAAGCGCTCATGCGTTGCGATTTTTTTTTCCTTTTTATAACTAACGGTGACCAAGTGCGAGTCGGTATTTGAGCGTGAATTCGTAGCCTCTTAATCATTTGGCAATCTTAACTTTCTTTGTACGGGATTGGTGCGTTTATGGCTGCAAATCATCGCGGCTTTTCACCGTACGTCCGCGAGTCCCGTGAATTCTCGATTGTGAGTCTCGAAAAGTACATATATCCCGAACGAGTCTGAGCACTTGACGACGATGCGACTCGACGTCGTCCGGCTAATTCGCGCAAACGTCCTCGCTCATCAGGCAAAAAGCGCCACCGGCGCGCACTCTCGGAAAGATTGTCCGGGGCTAACCCGCAAATGGAGTCGACCTCTTCGCTGCTCGCATACGGGCACTGCAAACAACGCAGAGCGAGAGAGAGAAATCAGGCTCTCGCGATACAGCCAATCGAAGGCAAGTCGGGGGCGATTCTTACGGGACATATTTACGAGTGCGCGTAAAAGAGCAAGAAACAGCGGACACGGCTTGGGCGGTACTTCTGCTCGTATCTTTTTACTTTTATGGACGCGCGAGATAAGAGGGGCTACGATTCTCTCTCTCGCTCTCCCTCTCTCGGTCTCGCTCGTCGATGCGGAGCCGGTCAGTGGCTGGCATACGCGAATTTATATATGAATATTCAGCAGCCAGCGCTCGCGATCGGAGCTTAGTCTTGTCAAACAACGCCGGTTATTACATAACGAGAGCAAACCCTAACCCCATCCCCCGAGCATCTTCGCCGACCGGTTACCGCGGCGCGTTGCCTCGAGGGGGGTGGGCTCTTACGTGCCGCGCGCGCCGCGCCGGCCTCCCCGATGCTGCCAATTACTTAACAGGCATTTTGCATCGGCCGATTGCCGCCTCGCGCGCGACGCTCACAGCAAAGTTGCCGTGATTGAATTGATCGACCGTCTTCGCTTTGCTCTCATCGTGGCTCCGCGACGTTGGAAATTCATTCTGGCATCGGCGAGCTTGGAGCTCGCGCTCTCTATTGTCGTGCTTGACGACGATCGCTCGAAAATATTGTGCAATTGTCATCTGACTTTACTGTCTAATGATCGTCCAGGATGCCATTTTCGTTCGTACATATTGCTCCTTCAATTTACTGCGTCATTACGACAATTTCTCATACATTTCTATTTATAATGTTGAATACTCGCTCTAAGAATTTGTTCGAAACTTAAGCCACTCATTAGATCGCTTTTACCCTACTTATTTTGACAACTAGTTTCCTAATATTCAGTTCCATGCATATCGACTAGCGGACACGTGAGCGGAAATAGTCCGAGTAACTTGCAATTGAAATCACCGCCTCGTTTCTAAGTTCGAACGAATGAAAATTTCAGCTCCCGAAAAGGGAAAAAGTAAAACAAAGAGACGACCCCCCCTGCAACTAATTTTCGGCCCTCGCGCGCGCGAGCACGCGTGGCAAGAAAAGCTCGCCCATTCCCATGCAGGCGACGCGTCCGAGAGTCCGGCCGAGTGGCCGCAGATACAGCACGCCTCGATAGCGATAATAATTATCAAGCGAGCGGCGTTATCGCCTGCGGCGTGCTTAACCTCGATGCCTTTTAAGCGCCACCCTCTCCGACTCCTGCTCCTCCTTTTTGGCTCGAGCGCTTCAACGGCGAGTCGTAAACTCGCTCGAAAATGTGCTGTCAAGGGGGGGTGGGGTTGACCAACGCGATAAGTACGTTTTTTCCTCCTGTAGGATTAATATACGCGCGGATAGTTTCCTCTTTTTCGCGGCGAGCTGTCGGCTGATGCAGGAGATGCGAGAGCGGCACGAGTTAAGCGATGCCTCACTAATTTCACGTGTTACTGCTGATTTTATGAAAAGCCGACGAAAACCATTGTATAGCTCCCTACACTGTTGGTAATTGGATTGCATCAATTATTTTTCTTCGTTCGTATACTTGGGCTGAATAGTTGGAATTCAAGTTTTTTAGTATCGGCATCAGGATTTGGAAGATTATGATTGTTATACATTGCGAAAACGAGAAGAGATTGCATCGAGTTACACCCTCTAGGGTAAAATCTCCTTTGGAATAATACCAGGCACTGTCGAACGATAGAACTTTTAGTTTTTAACGTATTATCCAGAGGGCAATTACAGTTTTCGCACAGTCTAAACCATTCTCTAATGGACATATTTCTTCGGTATTTAATGCTTGATCGTTCTGATTTTTATGTAGTTCTATGATACTCTATCAAAAGTTTTGGCTGGATCCAGAACCATATTAATCACCTCTGTACTTTTCTTTATCCTTATCAATCGTTTCGTCGTAATCAGTTAGCAATTCCCGTCTATCAAAATGACAACAATTAATTTTCATTTCATTCCAGTATATTTTGTCCATTGACAACGTGAAATAGCGTAACTACGTTGCAATCGACTCTCTCACTTGGTTCGCAAAGCAATTATCAGACGGAGAGCAGCGAAAGCTCGCAAATAAAGATCTATCCTCGCGAAAACAACTAAGTGGATTAGCCGTCTCGACTTGATCGAGGGGGGAGGGGGGTGGCAAGACAAGAGCCGACACATGCTAAAGAGACACTGGCGAATATTTTCCTCCGGCCACGATGATTTATACAGAGCGTTATTAAAGAGGAGGAAGAAGAAGAAGCGCCGAGCCTAGGAGATATCGAGTGAGCCCACGGAAAAACATCTCTCTCGCAGCGAGTCTCGGATGTTTTGATTCCGACTGTTAGAGAGAAGACATATATCAGCCGGCCGAGAATCGGGGGAGGGGGTGGGGCGTCGAGGAGAAAGCTCGCGCGCGCCAAGAAAAGGAGGAGGAACGGCGCATCGGCCGCGCTGGACACGCTGGATTTATTGCCGCGCGGCGGTGCACACGTATGTAATTATTTAAATCTCTGTCAGTCCCCTAAAAACGACGTTCGCCGCACGTGCGATCGGATAGTTTTCTTTCTATTGGTGCTTTTGGATTAGCGGGTAATTGTTGGACGATGAATGCGAGGACGGCTTATTTTTTTTTTTTTTTCTTCAGGATACTTTCTATTGAAATGGGTAATGTATTTCAGACTGCTGTCGATACACTGAAATATGTCGGAAATTTTATGATCCCGGGATTACAGGGCGTAACGAGCTTGCCGATAGCTCCGACACTATTCGGCGTTGGTGACGCGAGTGAACTTTGGTTGTCCTTCAGGTGGAACCGATGATATCCATTTGCGATGGTGGCTGTTTACGGCATTCCACTGCAGAACTAAAGAGGTTTACATGATTCACTGAGTTTCCAACTGACGCCTCTAGAGTGATGAAGTAAGCTCGATTTATACTTAGCGAGAGTTGTTCTCCTTCGTGCATATTCTTTCATCGCTTTGCTCGCGTGACGAGTCAATTCAGTTATTCATGTTTAATGCTTGCAATATTTCAAAATATCGAGTTGTTTACTGTATACGTATCGATGCATTCTAAAACAATCTTTCGCTTGCCCTCTGCGAAACTTTCAATATCGAAAGA